TCCTACTTCTAATACAACTTTTTTCTTGTATTCTACAAAATAACAATTCTTAATCTAATTCAATATTTTAGAATTTAATTCTGGTATTGCTGGAGATTCGAACCGAATTCCTCCAGCGTGTGAGTCGAGAACGCTACTGTGTAAGCTATTCCCGCCACTTGATCACTTTTACTTTTTTTAAAAAAGATCAAAAAAAAGTTTATTTTTATTGAATAGGTTAACAGTATTTAATTAAAATATACGAGGTTATTACCGAAGGGTATTACACTCTAACAATGTTCATAAATATAGTTTTACATTTTATCTTAATAATCTGTATATATATTATATAGAAAAAAAGAGGAATTGATTAACAATTCTCGAAAAAAGACTACATTTCAATGATTTCGAAAGTTATAGAAAATATCATAACTCATTTACAAAGGAGATTTACAGAATTATCAAGATAAAGTATTATGATCCCATTGCTACTAGGGATCGATCAATATATAGCTTGGCTTAGGGTTTATTTATTTATTTTTAATACATGTAACTATTAAAGCAGTTTCCCGGAAGAAATGTACATATTAATTTACCAAATTCTATTTATCATCTATATTTTGTTCCAAGTACTGATCAGATATAAAAGATAATGCTTGCTGCAAAAAATATGAAACATTTTGCATAAAAAATACTTCTGTAATGAACAATTAAAGTCTGTATATAAACTTATTACATTAAATATAAATAATTATTAATATTTATTATAGTAGAAGTATTTTTTGTACATAACTCTTAAATTGGTTTTGTAAGATTACGCAACAACTAAAACTCAATTTTTTCAGGGTATTCACATATTTTCTCATCTATTTGTATTTATATTTTTCAAGAGTAAAAATATCAATTCATCCAGAATAAAACACATTTGTCAAGTTTAATATTTACTATCTTCGGAAAAAAAATTTAAAGTGAAAAAAATCATAAGCCCGTCAAACAATTGGCAGTATCATTAATTTATCATTCAATTCCTTAAATATCAAATTATCTTTGAGATGATAGAATCTGGTGGGCGCTGTATGTTATCCGACCCTCATGTTTAGAGGAAGCTTGAAAAAGAAATTATGTTTCAAGGACTCATCCAGTGTAAAACGTGTAGAGGGATTATACTCCAGCATAAGGTTAATAAGTTCAAACAGGAGATGGTCATCTTCATTGTCAGAACACAAATATTTTTCTAAAGGTTTATAGTTCTTCCGAATATAGCGGCCTAAGAAGCTGCAATCATCCCATTGCAGCTCACCTTTGTAGAAACAGCCGGTCTTTGATTTTCTGGTCATATTTGAAGGCAGTTCGCCCAGTATTTGCTCCATCAGAGCAAAGTGCTCACGATTTTTATGCATTGGAAACAGGGTCCTGCCATGGTACAATTCAAAAAGAATGCATCCTATAGACCAAACATCACATGGATGAGACCAACCTAATTTTAACATCACTTCAGGTGCACGATAAAACCTAGAGGAAACGACTGACGGGTGGTAATCGTAATCAAAAACCGCGCATCCGAAATCTATCAACCTAATCTCACTGTTTTTCACTTGCCTGTAAGGTTTAGAATTGTGCTTCTCATCAACTACAATCTCGAATTCTGAGTTAACAAATAGTATATTCTCAGGTTTTAAATCCGTGTGGGTTAATTTGTTTTGATGAAGAAAACGCACAGCAACACAAAGCTGATGAGCCATATGCCGTATCTGGTCAAGCGGATAGGGTTGATACTTATTATCTTTTAGAAAGTCAAAAATACTCGCACCTAACATTTTAAAAGCAATGCAGATGTGGCCATGATAATTTACCCAATTGTACATTTGCACACATAAGAATAAGCTATCTGGATCAAATTTAGAAATTTTTTCTAAGACTTCAATTTCCTGCATTGCTGCATTTCTGTAGTCTTCTTGGTTTTTAATAATTTTTAATGCAACTGTAGAGTGGTCCTGTAAATCCTCAACTTTTAACACTTTACTAAAGGTTCCTTTACCTAACGAACTAATAATCTCATATCTATCTTCAATTATATCACCAGGTCTGTACATGAGATGGCCATTCTTATCATCTGCAATCGTACTTTCCTGATGCCTTTCACGCTTACTTGATCGACGGCGACTAAAATCGTCTCTATGCCTGTGGTGACTTTGATAGCTCCTTTCTCCTGACCTACTTCTGTAACTGCGATGGTGATCTCCGCTCTCGTTTCTCCTACGTGTACGCTTGTCTCTATTCCTAGTCTTACTTCTAATGTGTCTTCTCCTTCTAGAAGGGCTCACTCTTATAGGATGATGGTCATCAGAATAATTCCTTCGATAAGAGTTATACCGATGACCACGAGACCGCGATCTTGTGCGAGAATGTGGCATTTTGCCTCTATATGAAGGCATTTTTCTTTTGAAATCTGTGGGACGGTCTGAAGTAGAAGTCGTAGTTGTATTTATGCAATTGAGGTTTACTCAATTATTCCATAGCTTCTACAGTTCTGCAGTGTAAATGGATTCCACATAATTTCTAGCGCGAAGTACTGATATCTTCATATAACCACCACGAGAGCCATTACTCGTACAAGCATTAAAAATTTTCCTTCAATAATACATTTACAAAATATACAAAAAATTCTGATTATTGTTTTCAAAATTGAGCTTAGCTACTAGATATTTTTTATTTTTGTTTAATTCAATGTATGCTTTGATAAATCGAAAATTAAAATTTATATTTCATACAAACATTGTTAAACGTATAATTTGTCAATACCTAGTATATTTTAAATAATAATCTAAAAGTACTATTATATTAAATGATATTAATAATTTGAGAAGAGAAATCGCAATTATGTATCTGTCACTTTCTGATATATGTATATCTTACTTTTTGTCGACGTTTTCTCAACTACGCCTGAACCAATTTGAAAAATACAAAACCTTTTTATTAAACTTGGTAAGCACTCGTGTTGATTCGTTTTTCCAGACGATCTGCAGAGCCGTTACTTTGTAATCAGTAAAAAGTGCAAAATTCGTTCACGTTTCTGAAAAAATTTGGTCTGGTTTATAAAAAAACTCAAGAACTATTCGAAAGATATCATTTAAGAATAGTTTTGAGCAAAGATTAATCGGGGAATTTCTTCGGAATTGATTTTAGTAAATTTGGCGATTAATACTTGAACCTTGTACTAAACCTGGTATGTGTTAAGTGCGTGTTCGTAATGTAATATTCATACCATTTGTCGGAAATATCTAACATGTTTTAAAATTTGTACAAACTAAATAACCTACAATAGTTTTTCGCTTCAAAATGCTCTTTAGCAACTCGATATACTTACAAATCACTCATAAATTAATATGTTGATATCTTATCAATGAAGAATATTGATGAATTATTACATATGTTGAAAATTCATGCAACTTGTGTTAATGCAAAATGCCACCTACATACCTAGTTAACATATTGATTTAACGAGTGGTGCATAGCATCGTGCCTTAAGAAAAATTGCTGGAGCATTTTTATAAGCTATAAGATTTTTTAAGAAAAAATAATTTTTTTAAACCATGTATATGTGTGTGCGTGTCCGTTATTGAAATTCCATTTGATTCCTATTGATAAGAAGACGTGCTCCTATTCCTATTGATAAGAATTTCGCAGATACGGGGCAAAAAGTGCCAAAAATGGTATTACAGTTTTTGAGATAACGGAGCGTCCGATTTAAATAATTCAAAAAACTAAACTAAACTACTTGTATTGACAAAATGAACAACTGTTGAAATTTTTGTGAAGGCAGGTCCAGCGACTCCAAAGATCCAATAAAAAAAGTAAAAAATAATGCCATTTTGCGACCAAAAATGATCATTAGACATATGTACATCCTATTATCAGATATTTTATAAAGATTAAAATTTTCAAAATAAATCAAAATACAAAAAAAATCGTTTTTTTCAAAAATTTCAAAATTTTCAGAAATCTAATTTTTTCATTTACCAAAGTTTTTATTTAATAATTTGGTTTGGTACGGAAAGTTCCAGCAATTTGCCTTAAGGCACGATGCCATAAACCCACTAGTTTGTATTATGAAATGAAGAACTGATTAAATTTTTGGAATGTGTAATGGTTTCGGGGATCCAATGAAAAAAGCCATTTGGCGGACTTTGAAACGTGAACTTCCCGTACAAATTTTTTTTTTTAAAAAACATTTACACTTTTGAAAAAAATTTACTCTGAAAAAATTAGATTTTTGAAAAACTATAAATTTTTGACAAAAATTTACTTTTTTATGAAAAAACAGACTTTTTGGAGAAAAATTTATTTTGAAATATTTTGGAAATTTTGAATTTTTTTCAAAGCAATCGTACTACTTTTACTGCATAGAGACGAAATATAGAAGCGCGAAAGCGCCGCGTCGCCGTCTATCGGATGAACATTGGTACAGAACCCACAGGAATGTAAACAAAATTTATACTTATTGTTAAAATCTCTATAAAATATCTGATAATTTGATGTGCATATGTCTAATGATCATTTTTGACCGCCAAATGTCATTTTTTTTACTTTTTTCACTAGATCTCCGAAGCCGCTATACCTGCCTTCATGAAAATTTGACCAGTTCTTCATCCGTTCTCTTAAAAACCGAGTTACAGTTTTTGGCACTTTTTGCCCCATATCTTTGGAACAGCTAGACCTGCCTTCGCCCAAAACTAATCAGCACGTCTCCTTATCAATACGAATCGAATGTTTTTTTAATTATTCAAATCGCTTCATCCGTGTTCCCAAAATCGTCGACGAAAATTTGTATCCGCACACACACACATACACCCATTTTTTCTAAGGTATGCCAAAGTGTTCAGAAGGTTTTGAAACGTAAAGATGAATAAAAAAAATTATTTTCGATTTTTTTGCGATTACTATAACTTGCCCTAAGGGAAGTTAAAAATATTTTCGATTGTTTTGCGATTGGTGATAATATTTAATTTAATTATTTTCAGGGCCAAATGCTGTACATACCAGAGACAGACTTAATAGCATTTTTATGCTATCCTAGTGTCATGAATCTGGATGATCTCACGCGGTGAGTATAAAGAATTTGTTCTATTAAATTTAACCTACTTAATTAATGAAAATTCTAACAAGAATTCTGTTTTGAGCATTTAAAACTTTTTCTCACAGTAAAATAAGGATATAAATAAAATTATGTCGTGGTAGTCGAAGTGATAATTTTATTGGCAGTAGATAACACTAACGAATTAAATTTTTTTAAATGTTCAGGCGAGGTCTCTACATTTCGGATGTTCCCCTGCACGACGCCACACGGGACTTGGTACTGATGTCGGAACAATTCGAAGCGGATTATAAATTGACGCGGAATTTAGAATTTCTCACTGATAAACTTCAGCAGACTTATCGCGAGCTTGAATCGGAGAAGCAAAAAACTGACAGGTTAGAACAATATACAACGTAGTTCATAAATATATTTTCCGACAAGTTTGTTCATTTATTCATCTACTTGCTTATAAGATACTAGCTGTATCCGATCACTCGTTGCTACGTTATTCAGTCAAGCCTCCGTTAACACGGCAAGTGCATACCGTGTAGTATGAGAACCTTGTTATAAAAATCTTGGATTTAACATAGAATCCAGGCTAATTCGTAGTGCGTTCTATTGAACGTGTAGTTCGTAATAAGAATTTTAACTGGTAAATGGTCCGCAATTTTGATGAATAAAAAATGATTCATATAAAAAGTTTTTTATTGTTTTTTTTAAATAGCAATTGTTATTTCAAATATCCTTCCTCCCGTTCCGTATTAGCATAACAAAAAATTGCTGTCCCGGTTTTGACTCAAAAAAATATGGTCGCCTTAACTAATGTGGAATTGCCATAGCACTAATTAATTCGAAGTCGTACACTACTATTATATAATCCAGGCATATCTGGCATATTCATATGAACATATTGTAAAAGATAAAATAGTCAATAATAAAACCTATGTTGAGGGATAACAGAAAAATTTTATGACAAAGACATTTTATGAAGAACTTTCCTAAAATTTGAAGAACTAATATTGATAAAAGCCATGCGGTTAGTGTTCAGTCAGGCGAATTTCTCAGGTTTTCTGATACAAAATATAACCTAAAAGCCGCACAAATGTCAAAAAACGATGTTAGATAACGGTGTGTTTTTGATACCACTACATAACATAGAGTGACGTTGCAGTTTATGAGTAAAATGCCTGAATGGACAGCAAATACATGACATTTTGACAGTATTCAGTATAATTCATTAGCATAATTTATGGAAGTCGGAGCGTAACATGGCTTTGCCGTCACATTTTTCTGTTATGCGGCAAAATCGGTCCCTAAATCTTTTTACAACCATATATACTTACTAGAATTGTCGAGCAAAATTAGCGTCATATAGAGTCCGTGTTACCTGAGGAATGTCGGATTTCTGGCTCCGACATTTCGAAATATGTTCAGAAAGTTTTCCAGTTATTGCCTAAATATAGAAATATAATTAATTGCTATTTTTTTTTAAAAAAAAATACTCCATCTGTCTCCGTTTACTTCATAGGTGGCAACCGCACCCGATGTCTCATTTTTGATAAGAGATTTATTTTTTGAAATAAAAGCTACAGCTATTTACGCAATGCCAAATACAATTTTCATAAGCACTTTTTTACAGAGATTATTTCTAAATATTTATCAGAAGAGTTAGAATTTACTAATATCTTATTTTTTACATCTCTGCCAGCATAAAGATTCAGTTGGTTCTTTTAACCCCAACCACATTTATAGAAGCATTTGTAGAGGTTATATAAAAATATGTTGAATTCAAGATAAAAACTAGTGGGGTGGGTGGCATCGTGCCTTAAGGCAAATTGCTGGTACTTCCCGTACCGCAACGAAATGTTCGAGGAATATTGAATGTTTTCAAATAGATTATTATAAATATTGTAACATTGTCTAATATTTATAAGAATTATATAAACTGAATTGCAGAGTTGAAATTATTTGTTTAAAGTCGAAATTATTTAGAACTATAGTCAGAATTAAAAATAAAATCTGAATTATTTTCGATATACAAAAAATTAAAAAAAAAAAAAAAAAATGGAACAAAAATTTTTTTTCCAAAATCAATTATTTTGTTAAGACAAGCAGAAAGTTCTTTGAATCAATTGAATCGGACGCTTAGTTCTTTCAAAAACTGCCATTTTTTGTACATTTAGCTCTGTATCTCCAAAATGGCTGGGCCTGCCTTTGCGAAAAACTAATAACCCCTTCTCCCAATCATTACTAATTGAATGTTTTTCAGATCATTCAAATCGGATGCTCCGTTCTCTCAAAAACTCGATTTCTATCTACGTTTCAAAGATTTCTGAATATTTTGGCATACCTTAGAAAAAATGGATGTATGTGTGTCTGTGTGTATGTGTGTGTATGTGTGTGTGTGTGTATGTGTGTGTATGTGTGTGTATGTGTGTGTATGTGTGTGTATGTGTGTATGTGTGTGCGGATACTAAATTTCGTCGACGATTTCGGGAACACGGATTAACCGATTTAAAAGACATTCCATTCATATTGATAAGGAGACGTGCTGATTAGATTTTGACAAAAGCAGGTCTAGCCGTTTCGAAGATAGGGGGCCAAAAACGGCAACTCAGTTTTTAAGAGAACGGAGCGTCCGATTTATAGACACATCAAATTATCAGATATTTTATGAAGATTTTAATAATACGTTTAAATTTTGTTTACATTTCTATGGGTTCCGTAACATCGTTTGTCTGTTGGACGGCAACGCGGCGCTTACGCGCTTCGTTATTGCGTCTCTATGCAGCTAAAGCAGTACGAAATTTTTTTCTAAAAATTCAAAATTTCTCCAAAAACTCATTTTTTTCGAAGTTTAAAAAATTTATCTTTAAAAAAAAATAGTACGGGAAGTACCAGCAATTAGCCTTAAGGCACGATGCCGTACATAGAATAAAAAATTTAGTAAAAAAAAACGTCCACAAAAAGACGATAATTGACCACCCATTGAAGAGTATGGTGGGAAGGTGAAAATTAAGGGTTGGATGTATCTATTTTTAAAGACAGATATAGACCAAAAATACAAGAAATCAAGAAAATAAATAAATAAAGCGTTTATTTTTTTATAGTCTTTTGTACTCCGTGTTGCCGATCAGTGTCGCCACGGAACTACGTCACAAGCGCCCGGTTCCGGCTAAACGTTACGATTGCGTCACCCTCCTCTTCAGTGGTATCGTCGGGTTTGCCGAGTACTGCGCCCTTAACACGGACTCCAAGGGAGCGATGAAGATCGTCCAGATGCTGAATCAGCTCTACACCGCATTTGATGTCCTGACTGATCCAAAGAAGAATCCTAATGTGTACAAGGTCAAAAAACTTAGTTATGTCGTAATTAGTGCACCATGTCTGATCCATAGATATGTTTTTCTTTTTGCAATTTTAAATCTTCGATTTGTATTAAGGAACTTCAGAAATGTAATTAGATTATTGTAATAATATATGTGTGCGTAGTATGCATGTATCTTAGGTCGTTTGTGAACTTATATTTTCAAATTATGTTCTCGTACGTGTATATAAAAATATTTTGCTAAAACTTATCGTCACGTTCCAAATAAAACATCTTAAAAATTTGAAGAAATTTTATCAAAAGAAATTTTGAATGCTGCAAAGTACGCTTTAATTGATTGATTCATAAAGACTCCAATATCTGCACTATAAGCGATAAAATAAAAAGGATTAAAAAGCCGCCTTATACATCACCCAAACTCACATGGAACTTCGTCATAAGTCTACCAGGGCCAGATCAAGAAGGAATATCATTCTACATTAGTATCTAACAGTCTCAAAATTATTGTCAACTGGTCAGACGGTTTGAATCGTATCATTATTTCTAAAATTGTGCTTGTTGTCAATTTAGGACAGTTGTAATAAATCAAAGTGTAATGAAAAAACTTGGAAATCAGCGTGGATCAAAATAACTCCTAAGAACAATAAAAAACCACAATTGGTAACATCAATAACTTTATTATTCTATTAATTTTTTTTAAGAATAACCTCTTATGAAAATCAGAACTATGCCAGATAACAAGAATATATTACCGGATTTTCAACTTGTATTCACAGATCAGCACTCGTCAATGCATATTACTGGAGCAGTATTCAATAAAAAAGACTTCTCCCCAGTACACCTCCTACTATTACTTATACATCAAGAAAACAAGTCTCAAGCCGCGAGTAAATTATTATCAAACCGGCAGGAGGGATTTTGATTGCGGACAATGTTTCAATCAACATCATATTGTCTGTTGTTTACGCTTACAGTGATTGTAAAAAATAGTGCGTTAGGTCTCTCGGTGAATGAGATTCTGTAATGTGAAAAAAATTAGGAATAGGTATAAATTGATTGTTAGTGAACTCATATATTTCATTTCAAGAATGGAACGCACATAGTTAAAACGTCGACAACAAATTTAATTTAAAAAAAAAACATTGTTTTCTGTTTTGGCTTCTTTGTCTGAAGCACAACCCCGATATATAATTCCTCCAAAATTATATAAAGTAAGGATAAAAAAAAAAAAACAAAAAAAGATGAAGCATTTTTTCGAAAGACTAACATTCTGTTCCAAATTTCTGACACCATCAAACCCGATATGGTTACACAGTTAGGACATAAACTGGCTGTTAACCCCTTAACTTACATTTTATATTTGAAAATGCTGGGCCAAAGTTGTTCAAGCTGGCGCGACGTTTGTGACTATTTTTTCTCAGGGTGTACGGTTTATCACAAAAATAAAGATAATTTTGTGTTTTATAATTTCGTATGAATAAATATTTTGTAAAACTTGCGTTCATCATACCGGGGTCATGCCCGTAATGCGTAATATTTGCTTCTGGCCCGAATATCGTACGCGGGCTATGCCCGTAATATTCATATTTGGCCTAGAAATCGCACGCGGGCTCTGCACGTCATTTTATGTTAAGGGGTTAAAGACAGAAGAGTCGATAACAAAGCCTACTAAAGTCATTCCTAGGTTGTAGTCGACCCAAGCACGCTTTAATACGGCTTAGTAATATAAGAACATCTTTCCAAATACATATTGAATATTACAGTTGACCCCACAATCGTGCTATTTTGGTAGCAATAAACGTTGATGTGAACGGAATTAACTTTTAATTATGCAATACACATCACGTAACAAGAGTTTTTTTTTGTTTCAACAGCGATCAGAACTCTTACTTCCTATGTTTTAAAAGCTGTTTTGTTTAAGATTTATGACCTAAGGTATTATTATGAGAGGCAACGCATCGGTTCATCATTCTCCTACGTGAGGGAAGGATTTATATATTAGCTCTTACGTCTAATAGTTTACATATGATTGAATGATGCAACTATGTTCACGAAGGACGATTTCCACTTGGAATTATATTGTGATCTATAACCCCAACTGGAAATTTGACATCAAACTTGACTAATGTCAGGCCTGGCGGTAGCGGGAATCGAACCTGCGAACCTGGGACTACTTGGTGCTAGCCCACGCTCTAACTGATATCGTCACCGCTGGCTCATTGTATAAAATGTATTCAAAATATGTTCTATTACAAATGTCGAGATGGCATGACTTAGTAAGTTCACCTCGGAATTCGAGATACTCAGCTGTAAGTCTGTAAATACTTGTATATTGACATCCTAAAGTTATCTGAAAACCTACATATGGTATTGACACCCTACCATATGTAGGTTTTGAGACAACTTTAGGATGTCAATATACAAGTATTTATAGACATAGACTTACGGCTGGGTATCTAAAATTCCGAGATTCTTACCTACTTTAAGCTTAAATGACTGGACTATGAAGTGGCTTGATCAGCGCCTTTTGATGCTGACAGTTTTTAATTCTGTTTACGTGTTTAAAATATCTGCATTTTTCTTGTTCTTTAGTATAATCATCTTATGACCAATTGTCCGGTAAAATAGATCGTAACATAGCGTTGTTATGGCAACACTATGTTATGCTCCTTTCTTGGTAATAAAAACTGTCCAAATGGTATGTATTTGCTGTGTAATCGTCAAATAAAGAATGTTATTGTAACTGCATTTTTCTAATGTGCATTTATAACACATACATGAAGTTGATTTTATGTGTAAGGCGTCTCATCCGTACAGCAAATACTTAGTATTTTAACAATGAAAGGGGCGTAACATAGCGTTGCCATAACGACGTTTATTATACCGGACTATTGGCCCATTAGTTCATTTACGGGGTTACCAATTTAGTAAATTGGTCAGTATGTAATTATTGCATAAATATTTAGAATGTATTCATGTCGAGTCATCATGACTTATGTTTCATAATACATCCAATAAACGTATTGATTTAAAAATATAGGTAGAAACAGTTGGTGACAAATACATGGCAGTTTCGGGACTCCCGGAACCGTGTACGGAACACGCGCGTTGTATGGCCAGACTTGCTCTGGACATGATGGATTTATCATCTCAAGTTATAGTTGACGGAAGACCCGTAGTAAGTTAATAATATATATATATATATATATATATATATATATATATATATATATGATTAGATATGGGTAAATCACTTCGGAGTTATCACCCCGATACAACTCCTCCCTCGGAGTGAATCCGAGTGGAGTTGTCTCAGAGGATTTGTCATATCCGACTTCCCTAAATCTGTTAACATGTGCAGATATTTGCTTGAGATTTTTTTACTTATGCTTGGTCTCTTTCTCGCCTCACGGCCAGTTTTAGGACTTTCCAGGAATATAATGTCTCGAAATAATGCTATTTTGTATTCTATATTCTGTATACGATAATGTTTGTCCGTAAATGAGCTCTTTCAATATATACAACCAGCTAACAAGATTTAGTATTGTATTATAACTTTCACACAATTATGATTTTAAAATTGTGTAAAAGTAATAGTATGCTAATAAAACTACCTGATGTGTTGTTCTTATTTTATATATAGGGTTAACTGCATTATTTTCATATAAATATGAACACATTAAAAAAAATCTATATTTTCTCTTCAAATAAAATTACAAAATTGATTTTGATTCCCAAGTTTTTTGTCAATTTGAGATTTGTATGCATATTGAATTGCATAAATTAGTAATTATTATAATAAAATGAACAAAAATGTTTGAACTATTCGTAAACTACCTACAAAGTCTTAATAAATCCTTAGATATGTCAACAACACACTGGAGAACACATTTGTGTCAAGTATAATGTTTCAAAGTTGTCGCAATTGTAGAGTTATTAAGTGCATATAACTCCTCTCTGAAGCGGAGTTTTTTTAAAATTTATTTATTTAAAATCCATACGTTTCGGCTAGCATCTTAGCCATCATTCAGTGGTAATCAAGTTAAAATTTTGTATCCTAATATAGCATATGAAACCATTATTAATCCATGGTATGAGTATGTGCACATTGATAAGATATATATTTTTTAACACAAACATCACAAATGGTAAAACACACTAATAATAATGATAACTTAACAAGTTGTCGAAACTATGTGTTTACTCTTCGGAGTTTAGTATAGATTTTCTATCTATCTATCTATCTATATATATATATATATATATATATATATATATATATATTTTATCTAATATATTCTAATTCTATATATTCTAATATTTATATATATATATATATATATATATATATATATATATATATATATAGAACTGGTAGTATAATATTTTAACATGCATTTTATAAAGTTTAAAAATGAAAAACTATTATCATTTTTCCCAAATACACAAGGTATTCAACTCCCTTTTTGAATGATAAAGACCGATCTACAAAAATATAATTTAATAGAAATCAGATGAGACCAAATTAGATTGGAACTAAATAAGTACAATAAGTAATTTCTTTGGCAAATTATAAAACAAGCGGCTTTAAAATAATGTAATAAACTCCCATCTCTATAAAAATTGTCCGAGAATCAATATGAATTAAATTTATAGATATGTAAATTTTTATTTAAAATTAAGATTCGTAATTGCTCAGATTATACATAAACATACTTTCATATTTTGCCCGTAAGTCTTCTACTGGAGTGGATTATATAAATGGAAATGTTTTTATCTTTTAGCGTGTTCTAATATTTTCATGAATAGTCTATAGTACTTACGTTTTGGTCCGCGAATAAATATCAATTTCTTTGCTAAAATATAAAATCACAATCGGCATTCATTCTGATCCGCAAATAAATATTAATTTTTTTGCCAAAAATAGAATATTACAATCGGCATCCATTCTGGTGAAGTGGTGACTGGAGTCATCGGACACAGGATGCCGCGTTATTGCCTATTTGGCAACACCGTCAACCTGACGAGCAGAACGGAAACCACAGGAGCACCTGGAAGAATTAATGTGTCAGAAGATACTTACGAGTGAGTAGATTAGGTTACAGTAGGTAATTGTGCGATATACTGTTTATATAAAATTATTTGATGCTATAACGTATTTCAAATATATACGCACAGTTCGATTGTAGCAGCCGAGCGATTCACATCGAATAAATAAATCGTAAATAATTGCATAATGTCTTCCGAGTCGGATGGTCAGTGCGGCCGACCACCTGACCCAAACCTTTTTACCTGCCGCTCTGCGATTGGAGAGTCAACAGCAGATGCAAGAAACACTAGCTTAAATAGATTGAGTGACATGGATTTTTGTGATACTGAAAGTGTAATTAGTGTAGAAAATGAATCAGTTAGTAGTTGTGATTTGAACATTAAGAATAGTGTTAATGTTAATTATAAATATAATATCAACGATGTAAGTGCAGATAGTAATAAAAGGGAAACGTTAGAACAAAAGGAAAACAAAGGGGAAAACAGTAATTTAGCGTCAAATAATAGTGATACAACAATGGAAATAACAAAAGATCTAATAAGTGATAACAATATAAACGATCAAAATAAATCAGATGAAAGAGTTAATCCATTAAATAATTTGATACGTTTCGAAGGTTGCGATATGGGCCCTTACACTATATTTGTTGAATCCAAGGACAAAAATATAGGCCGACTACACCCGATGGCCTTGGGAAAAATCATACATAATGCAGGGGCATATTTCAAATTTGGTTTGACAGAAGTTTCGGTTATAGGAAAAAATAAAGTAAAGATGGAATTTAAAAGCGCCAGGGTGGCGAACAAAATTCTAGATGACAAAATTTTAGAAAAAAATAATCTGAAGGCATACATCCCAAAATACCTACTTGCAAGGCATGGCATAATATTTGATGTGGATGCGAATCTCTCAGAACAAGAAATTATAAACGCCATTGAAACAGACATTCCGGTTATAGACGTGGTATGTTTAAGACCGAAAAATAATAATACAATAAAATACTCATCACAATGTGTCAAATTAACGTTTAGGGGCACAAGTTTACCGAATAAGGTAGCTATACATTCGGTAAGATGTGAGGTTCGACCGTTTGTACAGAAAGTGGTCCAATGCTACAAATGCTGTCGATTCAATCACGTTAAGGACCAATGTAGAGGAAAAGAGAGATGTATGAAATGTTCCGGAGAACATAATGCGAAAATATGTATAGCATCCAAATTTCTATGTGCGTTGTGCAATGGGGATCACCCTGCAAATGATAAAGAATGCACGGTATTTATTAAAAATAAAAAAATTAAAGAAATTATGGCTTGGCAGAATCTAGCATACCATGAAGCCAGAAATATATTATATAAAGACAGCTATGCAAACAAGTCAAAAGCCGGATTCAGTTTCACGGGCAAAGATAAAGAATTTCCAGGTTTGTATGCAAAACCTGCATCTAGTACAGACAGCAAGATAACTAAAAATAGGTTCGACGCCCTTTCTGATTTAGAGGAGGAGGAGCAACCGGAATTTTTAAATCCGACAACCTTTCATAAACCTAAAAGAGCGACTTACAAAATTACCAAAAGCAATACTCCATTCAATTCTGGATCCTCAATAAAAAAACAGTCAGTGAAGGAACCTGTATCAAATAGAAATAACAAAACCGAATTTAACCTCAACCCAAGAAAAAGGTTAAAACCGAACGTGGAACGTGAATCTGCAATAGTCGAAAATAATAGCAATGTTCAACAAGATGGTTCATTAAATTTCTTAAACGAATTCATTGAAAAAATTAAACATATATACATTCCTAGTAGCGCTGAACATTATAACCTGTTGTCAGAAATACTAAACAAAATGATGAGGTCCAAAGTTGGACCCGACAAACAAGTTTGATTTGGCTGTGAGCACAGTATATTACGTATGGAAGCTTAAAATTATTTAGTGATAATAACTTAAAAAAAAAAATAATAATAATAATAATGCTAAAAATTATTCAAATCAATATCAGATCTGTTTTTTCAAATAAGCTGCATCTAGAATCCTATTTAAACACCAACCATATAGATATCGTAATATTATCTGAAACATGGCTCAAAGATAATAATAGATTTCAGATATCTGGATACGCCTTTATATCAAAGAATAGGGAAGATGGTTATGGAGGAGTTGGAATACTTATCCACCGAAGATACCAATTTCAGACGTTAAATTTAAACAGTTTCATTACCAATAAAATTCAGATTTGCGGAATTAAGCTGGCCATACATAACATAACACTTAATATTGTGGCGATTTATTGTGCCCCCGGGCACAAGACAGGCACGGAATATTGGGTGTCGCTATTCCAGGAACTAAATCAACCGTTAATACTAGCAGGGGACTGTAATGCTCACCACATAAGTTTTGGAGGGTTAAAAAACAATAATGCAGGCATAAATCTTAGTGAAGCCATAAACTCAGAGGGTTTATGTCTTATGAATGACGGAACACCTACAATGATAAGAAGACACGATAGGAATCCTTCCGCGGTAGACTTAACAATATGCAGCCCATCAGTGATGATTAGGGCTGAATGGAGTGTATTAAATGAAACTCTAGGGTCTGATCATTTAGCAATTAGTATTAATGTTAAATTAGGCAATGATAATAAGTTTAAATACAATCATAGTCCAGTAAACAGATATCGGTGGAAAATTAAAGATGCAGATTGGTCAGGTTATGCGCAAACTGTAGACAGAATGTTGTCGAATACTAATCTCAACTCTAATCCGATGATTTCCTATTCCAAGTTTATTGAATGCATTAATAATGCAGCACTAATGAATATTCCAAAAACAAATCCGTATTTGGGTACGAAATATAGAAATAAATCAAATCCTTGGTGGGACGAGGAGTGCAACAAAGTGAAGAAAATAAAATCGGAAGCAATTAAGAAATACAAAGAAATACCAAACATAGACAATTATATAAAATACAAGCGAGCGGTAGCTAAGTGTCGATTTGTATTTAAAAAGAAAAAATACGATAAATGGACAGAGTTTTGTAACTCTTTCTCCAGAGACATGTCTTCACAACAAATCTGGCACCATATAAAGGTCATGAAAAATGGAGCCACTCGAACCAATGCATTTCCTAATAACTTAGCTGATCAGTTTCTTAACTCACTTACTCCGGATACGGTAATTAATGACGTCAACATACAGGACATGGAAAAAAATGACGAATTAGAAGGTCCCTTTACCATTGATGAATTACATTTGGCACTAAAAAGGAATAGTAATACTGCGCCGGGTAATGACAATATACATTACCCCATGCTAAGTAACCTATCAGATAAGGGAAAAAAAATTCTACTGAAGGTCTTCAACGACATCTGGACTAAAGAGATTGCTGTAAAAGACTGGAGGACATATATCACAATACCAGTTCTAAAGCCTAATAAGGATGCAACAAAAATAGAATCATATCGGCCGATTTCTCTAGCGTCATGTATGTCCAAAACATTCGAACGCTTAATGAAAAGAAGAATCGAGTGGTGGCTCGAGAATAAGAAGAAATTGCCAAGTTACATGCAAGGTTTCAGAAACAAAAGAGGCACGTATGATGTTCTAACTAGTTTCGTCTATGAAATTCACAACAACCTGGCCAAGAAAAATTGTGTATTGACTATCAACTTGGATTTGGAGAACGCATACAACAGGGTTCAAATACCGATTTTAATAAACATTCTATATGAATTAAAACTCCCTAAGAGATTTATTGTTCACATTTATCACTTATTGAAAGATCGAAAATTAGTCCTCAGATGTAAAGATACACATTATGGGCCACGGTATATGTCGGAAGGCTTACCTCAGGGTTCTGTCCTTAGTCCCTTGTTGTTCAACGTATACACGGCACACCTTCAAAATGAAATTGGCCAGGACGCTCGGATCATGCAATATGCAGATGATCTAATATTATCACATAGTGGAGTGTCATTAAATGATGTGATCAAAAAAATGGATCAGACCATGACGTCATTTGGAAAATGGACCACATCACTGGGATTTTCAATCTCCGAGAATAAAAGTGCAGTATCGTTTTTCACCAGACAAAGGAATTCTATTGCGATGGAGTCAATAAAATTAGGTAGATACACCTTAAAAATACAAACTACCACAAAATGTCTGGGTTTGACTATAGATAACAAATTACGATGGGGTCCACATTTGGAAAATCTGTCAAGAAAATGTGAAGATGCATTAAATATCTTGAGAGTATTAAATCACATGATGTATGGCGCTGACGTGAAGGTTGCAATCAGGATATATAAACAGCTTATATTATCTAAACTTGATTATGGCTGCTTCATTTATGGGGATGCAAGTAAAAATCTACTACGCAAACTGGATACCCTGCAAAATAAAGCTATAAGGTATTGCCTGGGAGTTTTGCGTTCAACGCCCATTAACGCCTTACATGTGGAGGCACACATAATGCCTCTGCATTTGAGGAGGAAACTGTTAGCAACGAAATTCGTTATTGACAGAATAAGGTCCAACAACGTAGAGGTGATACAAAAAATTAGTAGTGCTAACAACTGTCAGAACAGACAATATTGGCAGAATAAGAAGAAACCTATACTTATGTCAGTGATCTCAGAAACTGAATACAAATGCAAGCCATTAGAAGAACAAAACAAAGCAACAAAATTCTACTTCAACTATGAAATCACGACTACAAACCTTCAAAATATCATACAGACGGAATTTTGTAATATATATAGCAGTCCAATTGATAGGGGGTATAGATTAGAAATTGAAGATAAAATTAAAAACACGTTTCCGGACTTCGAGGTTTTCTTCACAGATGGTTCAAAAGGTCCTGAGGGCGTAGGTGCTTGCATCTATCATCAGAACACTAACTTATATACTAAATATAAGTTAGATATAAATGCGTCGATTTATACAGCTGAAATGTACGCCATAAACAAATGTATTCGGAACGTCGCCTCACTTAGCTTGGAGAAAGCCGTTGTATTCAGTGATAGCCGATCATCTTTAGAGAGCCTGCTATCTATAGGCAGGGACCCAAGTTTTTTAGTGTTAGATACTCTTAATCATATACATAACATACTCTCGAAAAGAAAATCCGTTTACTTAATTTGGATCAAGAGTCATATTGGAGTAACAGGGAATGAAGCTGCTGACAAAGGAGCAAAAGATGCAATAAACACGGGTATAATCGTAGAAGATGGAATATCCCACCAAGATATCAAAAACCTCTTTAAGGCAAAGATATACAAGGAGTGGCAATTGGAATTCCAAGAGTCAAGTCGTGAAAAAGGACAGTTTTATGCAGCCATACAAGAACAAATTCCTGTCAGACCATGGTTCGACAAATTTACGAGGAGTCGTCATTTTTACTGCATTTTTAATCGTCTGAGAACCAATCACACCTTTACGCCTTTCCACTTGAATAGGATCGGAATTAACATCAATCCGTATTGTCATTGTCTTGGCGAAGCAAATAATGCAGATGCCAATCACCTAATTATGGAGTGTAGACATATGGAGGAAAAAAGAGAAAAACTATGGAATAAATTAACAAAACTGAGGATCCCACTTCCCACAAACCTGAGACTGATGTTGGCAGACACTGTAACTTATGATGCTATATACGAGTATATATGTGAAACTAGATTAATGGTATAGAGATTCAACATGTGTAATTAAAATTAGGTGTATATGTATATTGATGTGTCTTTGTGTATGTATATGCGTGTATATATATATGTATATATGTATGTATATATATAGGTGTGTGAATGAGTATGTATGCATGTGGATTTATATATATATATATGTATATTAGTCTTAATTTTTGTAGATGTGAAATTCTGTAGACAATGGCCAATGTACAAGCTTACAAAGCCAATAAAAAATAAATAAAAAAAAAAAAAAAAAAAAATATACGCAGTTATATTCACGACAAATATTTAGACAAGAACTTGAAATAAAATTTATTATTAGTGATTACGGTTTGCTATAAATACTATGTCCAATTAACTTCGCTGATATGATTTATTAATTAATTAATTAAGTTGCACTAATTATTTGCTCGCAATCAGATAACATAGTTCATAATGAAAAGAATTAAACATTTCTATAGGTCTATAATATATATTCCAAAAGATATAATGAAAATTAAATATTAATGCAAATTTATCAGTAATGCAACATTTGCAAACAGATCGTAAAGATAGCATTCCTCGTAAATTTCTACTCGGAGTTCAGAAATCTTAAAAAGATCTATGCAGATTTCCGCCTTGCATTGCAGAGTCAAGTGATGACTTTTACAATTGGTTCAATTATATATTTTACATGAACTTTTTATGGTGATTATTTCCTGCTATTATTTTATGAAATTCCTTAAAAATTAAAAATATAACCATTAAAAAAATAGGGCATTGGATTTGTTTGTCAAGAAAACTCAAATCCTGTCAGATGTTGAGCGTCATTGTCCCAGTGTTGTTGAAGGATTAGTTCAAACAGGTATCGCGTCTTCAAAATTTTATTTTGAGTGTTTTTTCCTCATGGTGGCAACAGAAAGTCTCTTTTATTGTTATTTGTGATTATTTCTATTAAAATCAATTAAGTTATGCCATTACTAGTGATAAATTTATTGATCGAACTTTTATTATTTATTCATTTTTGTTCATTTTCGGACAAAATGACTCAGTACTATTTTGCAAGCACTACAAGATAGTTCATTTCAAGGCCAAGAAAAAAAATTAACCCTCCGTCGGTCGGCGTGGTCTAGCCTGACTTTTTTCGACTTCAATTAAAAAAAATACTTCTAGTAATCCTATCGACTTGAAATTTCTTGACTTCTCCTAAAATTTCATAAACTGTCGATCAATGAAAAATTCAGGACGAAAAAATGTACAGGAGGATAATTATAAGGATATTAACTTTTTTATACATCGAACAGTCGGAGTGGTCTGTCTAGACTACCCATACATTTTGTATGAAATATACGCTTTTTGATATATGTAGACCAGTATTTTGTCTTTTTTCTGGTATTTTCTATTCAAACTGCATTTTATATATTTTTTGCTATGTGTTGTAACATGAATGTTAGTATTTTCACGACGAGAGTTCCTTGAAAACCTACCAAACTTATTAGTCATTGCAAACATTTAAAATCGGCTGAGTAACGCGCACATAATCAACAATTTCTCTACCCGTACTGCATTCGGAAATTTTTTTGGCAAACCTGTAGTGAAATTATATTTTCAACTTGAATTTTACAGCTCATTTCAAAGGCGACGCACCTCATTTCGTTTTCATTTGAATTTCACATTCATTTCGAAGGAGTCGAAACAGAATAAATATTGTTTTTCATTGATATAAAAGAGAAAAATAAAAATAATAATAAAAGCAACGATTTTTTATATTCTCTGATTTTTTTATATAATATAATATGATATATAATTCTTTTTATTATAAGCAAGCTCAACACATGCAAAAGACGGTAAAAAAAATCTAAACTATAAATATTTACTACTAATAATCGTTAATATGTAAGACACCAAAAACTCATTTATCCCAAATAAATGCATGTAAAATGAATGGTGGTCCAGCCAGACCACTCCGACCGTTCGAAAGTGAATAAATATCCGACCGACGGAGGGTTAAACATATCAAAGATATTGGCTTTTAACTTCTACTCTAACTACTTCGAAAAGCACCACAAAGGATCCACCTATAAAAAGAGACTTGCATTTATTACAATGAACTCTTTTACCGTTTTTAGCCCGACGGAGGCTAGTTGCAATGTATGATTTATTTCCTTTGGGATTATACATTATGCGATGATGTCCCAGAGAAGATTAAACTATTTCTTTGTGAAGCGTCTTCTTAAAAACTAGCATTTCAGGACGAAATGGATTTTGTGAATGGTTGCATCTTTCGTTAATAAATATTTTATTATAGTTTTTACTTAATTAAAAGTACTATGTTATTGGTAGTAGTTAATGAAACAAAAATGAGTAAAAACGATCGAGACTTGTAAATATTATTAAAAAAATAAAACACTGTGATTCTGACCGTACTTCCCCCTTTATCTTTTGGGTAATTTAAGACAAATTAGCACACTTGAAAGCATAAAATAAAATCTGGCACTTTATTTCTTTACATGGCCATATTTTAAAAAAATATTAATTTTATATATTATATATTTACATAAGATTTCTTTGTTTTTAGATATCTTTGCCGTGAAGAAAACCACGATCCCCAGTTTGTGCTGACCTCTAGAGGTCCCGTGGCTATGAAAGGAAAATCGGAACCAATGCACGTGTGGTTCCTCACGAGAGCAAACCTCACTTAGTCCAACAAAAGCATATAAATAATAGAATATATAAATATAACACATATATCACGATCACTTTGAATAAATCAATTCATCAACCATTATCAGAAGTGAAAAACAATCTAAAAAAAATACAAAAAAAAAATAATTAACCAAATGTTGATATAATTTGGCCTATCAAATCGAGTTTTAAAAAGTTTCCACTTGTCCATGGAAAGGCACCATAATTATTGAAACAATATTATTTTATAAAGTTAGTAAATGTATAAACTGGTATTTAAGTGAAAAATGAAATTACCAGGACCATCATACGTCAGAAATAAAATGTGGTAAAACGTTAAAAACAGTTCTTACTATAATTTTTTTTTAATTTATTTTAAAATTTGATTTGATATTTTTATTTTTTGTAAAAATAATTTATTTGATGGAATAGCTGTAAGTAGTGTAAATTTCATTACACTTTTAAAGCGACTGTTTTAAATTAATATTACATTGTTTACTATATTTTAGAACCATTGAGATTGTGTTTTTTTGGCACGATTTTAATATTAGTGATGTAAATTGATGTGAAAGTGTTATATTTTATCTACATTTTAATGTTATGATTTTCTTGCGATTCTATGGTTTTACAATCACAATCTTGATAACAATCACAATACATAATAAATTTAACTCAAAATTTACATATTGGCAAAATAAGGGAGAGAAACCTAAAATAATAATTTTTAATTAATTAAGGTTTACCTCAGGTTATTTGTTTCTATGTTTTACCAACACTTTATGTTCGTTGTACTATTTAGCACTCTTATATAACACTCAGCACAACTTATGTTTATTTTATTTTTTACACAAATAACGTATGATTGTCCTGGAATTCTGATCCAATAATCAAATTTATATCACATATACTAACTTATGTATGTTTATACTGGTTTAGGGAGAAAAAAATCATTTTTGTAGATTGCTATAGCGGATAATATTTTATTAATTAGATGCAATTTTATCTTGTAATGTAGACAATATAAAATATTGTTATTTGGTGTGGCCTTGATTAGAAATAATCAGACACTCGGAACCGCTGAACACTATGGACTGTTAATCTTGAACACAATGGACTGTATAATATCAAAAATAAAACTTTATTCTTTGAAACAAATAAAGAATATCACTTTAATAAAAACGGAAAACTTATCAAATTTCTTACTAAGTCAATAAGCACCGAAACTAATGAAAAATATGAAATTCGAACGAAAGTACGGACACCGAACCAAATTGAATTCCCGTAAACGATCACTGAAACTGAACTAAAAGTAAACTGATCCGAAAGGTAGATTAAACAAAACTCGACAGAAGAATCAACTAGACTGATCTCAAATCAAAACATGGGTCAATGGATTTTTTGGAAAGAAAGAGACAGGCATCCTGGATTAGAAAGAAATAGTTCTGTTGATATATTGCAATCCGAGATGGCGACTATATAAATACTAATACATATAAGAACACTCATTGAGAGGTCACTATATTATTTATAGTTGGTTTAAAAATATTGAAAATAAAAATTAAGAAGCTGGAAACTACTCAAGATTCATAAATATGTATGGCTAATTATTTGCAATTTTAACTTTCTCTTAGTTTTGGTAAACTAATTTAGTGTAATCGACTAAACTATAGAAATGATCCAATAATATTAATTATAAAACTATAAAATAGTTTCGAATTGTTTTAAGCCAGCTAAAATTAATAAAAATGGATTTTTTTCTCCTAAACTATTTTACATTAGCTTATTACATATAATATATTGTATAATTTAATGTATAGTGAAGTCATTGGCACACATAATTGCCCTTTCTTTAAAACAAAAAGCACCAAGTATGAAAATTTAAAATTTATTATTTTTTAATGTGCTGTTTATTTGTGAAGATTTATTATGGTTTAATGGGTTATAATTATTATAAATCAAAATAAACTAACTTTTTAGATGAAAATTAATTTTCATCTAAAATTGATACAGGCATATACTACTAAATGTTGTACGAAACTAATGCATTTGATAAAATTTATAATATATTTATTCATAAAAACAGATGCTTAGTACTTGACGAAATTGATGAAATTAAATCGAAATACAAATCGTTGGTTATCAAAATTTCTTAAATTATATATGTTTATATCTTGACGGGTCCACTGAAAGCGCATTCATCATTATTAACCTATATGTCCTAAGTATGAACAGACACAACATAGATAACACTTAAGTTTCTAAATAAATTAAAAATAATCTAGATTCAATGTACAATTATACACTTTTTTTCTACTAGAATCTTCTAAACTCTGTATCCTTTTTTTCAACTTGCAACTCTTACCTAAGTTTTGATGGCCTAAAGCAGTGATTCTCATAGCAGGAATATGGGTGTAATTATTATAATTAGACTTTTTTCAAATACAAAATTAAAACTGTTATTCAAACGAAATTGGGTAGATGAACTATTTTTTGCTGAATAAAAATAGTTGGTTTAATCAACTTTGCAGTAAAAAAAATGTATATAAATATTATTTCATTATTATTTATTAGTTATTAGTTTTTATTATTATTATCGCTAAGAATGCCAAAGACTTCAGACATTGCTAACTAATAAATAACATTGAAGATTATGGTTTGCTATAATTTTAATAAAAACGCATAAAAAACAGTCTGTTGACTCGAACTGCTATCAGAAATATCAGTCTTAATTTGGCAAACACTTTAGATATGATTATTTGAAGTAATTAATCCGAAACTTTTATTAAAAAGAGGAGCAAAATAATTTTTCTTGAGATAAAACTGTAATAGATCATGCACATATTTATTTGGTGGTATATATCTTTATCTATTATTACTTATAGGTTAAGTTTATAACATCGAAAAAAAATTGTCCTTTACTTACTGAACAATTCAACTTTTACCATCGTCTATAAATGTTACTAACAAGAAGAACTTCGAGTTTACTCTTTTGGGATTTTAATAAAACTCCGCATGATGATAGGATAGATGGTCAATTTGAATAAATTTTACGCTGACGGGATTTGAACCCGATCATTTTATTTTTTTTATCTATGAACCCGAATGTAAAATGTAAGAGTATCATGCTTAAACATACAGTCAACTGATTGATGCGCCACATTGCGAGCAACTATTACGCGCGTCCTATTTTTCAAAACTATAATTTTTATAAATAAATCGGTCTTCATATGCCTATAATATTTTAAACTATTCGGTTTGACTATCAACTCTATCATTATGCAAAATTTCACTAAAATCCGAGAAGTGTAAACCAAAGGTTCTCCTTGTAAGTCGTGCTTTTATAGATTGGAATTGTTCGTTTTGGACACGTTTATAGATAATGTACAGTATATTATCCATAACTGTTATTGTTTCGAAATCGTTATTATAAGGAGATGTACAAAATTAAAAATTTCAAAAATGCAAAATAAAATAATAATACAATAAATGTGTGCGTTCAAAATTTTTTTTCGATATAATTGAACTAGTTGAAACCATCAGTTCTAAAATGTTTGCCATCTATATTCTAAATGATTTATACCTACTTTCGTTAAAAATATACGATAGTCACATATAGCAAATAAATATAGCACATATATATGCTTATCAATTTCATGTCCAAATCACAAAAGGGGATTCCCGAAGGTACTTGCGGTGCGATCGAGACAAAAATTTCGAAGATTTCCAGATTCATCTCCTTCGCACAAGGAAAAGTCCTGCCTGGATCCTTTCTTGTGCCGTGACGGCTATTTAGCTTATTGTTAGACCTGCATATAATATTTGTTATATCAAATAAATTGTAATAAAATGACTCAATGTAAGCGATAAATGAGATAATCTATAATGTAACTAATTTATCAAAAGCCTAAAAGCTTAAATTTTATAAATCTGGACCACATTGAAATCACTTGACCAAAAAAAAATATAAAAAGTATGCAAATATAACTATGAATTAGATAGTTTGGTCTCAGCAGTTGCTTTTTAGTCAAACATGTGATTGCATCATAGGCGAGATAGTAATAAATGTATTTTTGTTTCACCTAACTATTTTGTTTTGAAATATTATTGTAATATTATATTGTATAAAAGCTATCAACGGAAAAATATATTATTTTTACATATTACTTTATTTTGAATAAAACTTTCTAAGTAGCAGGGAAAATTCAAGTCGAATGAAAATAGGCATTTCGTAAATCTTTAGATTATCTAACTCGGGATAAGTTTTTTGGAACGGTGATGTATAAAAATTCAGAATTATGAAAAAATAAAATCATTAAGTTTTGTAAAAAAACATAACATCGTGTAAAAAGAATTACATAGAATTGAAATTGTAAAGATTGATACACGAGTGGATTAAAATATTTATTTTTTATATACTTGCATATTTCTTGAATATAATGTTTAATGTTCACACATATAAATATGATCACAATTTTTCAGAAAATATCATTGGTCCATCGTTTGGAAATTAATCTCATACCTGTTCAGTAACTTCTTCAAATGCTTTCTCTTATAAACCATAAATTTGTTTTTTCAAAAGCGTTGTGAATTATTATCCATAGCTTGTTCCCTCATTTGTGAATTAGAATACATCGCTTGTTTTCAGTTCTTTTTCAATATTAAAAATGAATAAGCAATAATTAGTCAATAATCAAAATTAACAGAAAGAAGAATATTAACAGTTCATTGAGAAAAATATTATTTCCACTCTTCTATATATACTATTATGGTTGAATGTATCGGCATAACTCTCAGATTTATCCCGGCGTCTAGAAATTGCTAAGAATGCGGAATTGTCTAAAATGTTTCATTTTGAAAATGGTTAAGTCCAACTTTTCTAGAAAACTTTGTTATAAATATTGTTTCAGTTAGTATGGTGGTCTACCAAATGATAAATTTGGGACCAAAAATAATATTTTTTCTACTCTATTTCAAGCTTTGTGCTATAATAACGCGATGTAAGACAAGTCCATGTTTATTGGAAATGTTTATGAATGTAATATTTGGCAA